TCTCTCTCTCTCTCTCTCTCTCCCCCTTGTTAAAGTCTGTTCAAAGAAAAGCTCACCAGGCAGGGAGGAAGGAGGGTATATTTGGAAATGAAGGTGATAGACAACAAAATATATGAAAAAATGAGATTTTTTAAAACTCAACTAACCTGAACTATGGATTCTCTAATCAGGCAGGGCAGTAGTTAGTCTGAGGCTCAGTAAGTAATTTCAAGAAATAGCAAGTTTGGCTGATATGCTGGGATCATAGGATCATGGATCCAGAGTCATTCCACACACCATTTTTTCCCCCAATGCCCTGCCCCTGGTTCCAAAAATCATGCCATAAAGACATCCAGCCACTTGTATCATTCTCTCTTTCCAGTTCTGGAATATTAATCAAATTAATACTAACATTACTACTGTTTACTGCTACCATGATGGTGCAAGACCTCATCACTTCATGCCTGCTGCTCCTCACAAAAGGAACTCCATTTCCCAACCCGAAGTCTTTTCAGTGGCTGTCCCTCATGCCTAGAACTGTTTTCTTCATCACTGCTGCTTCTTGGCTCCCATGACTTGCTGCAAACCTCAGCTAAAGTCCCAGCTTCTAAAGAACCCTTTCCAGGTCTTCCTTAATCTTAGGTACCCTCCTGAAATTATCTCCAACGCTTAGTTACATACATACATACATACATACATACATACATACATACATATGCACACATTCTCTCTCTCCTCCCTCTTAAGTTACCATTCCCTTCTAGGTTTTCTCTCTCCCCTCTATTAGAATGTAAGTTTCTTGAGGGACAGGGCCTTTCTTCATTTTTATTTCTATCTCCAGGAGGACATAAAAATCCTATAAATATTGATAGTTGGCACACAGTAAGCATTTATTGATTTTCTAAAAATTCATTCATTCATCTATCTAATAATCTCCTCTATTTTTAGATGAGGAAATTTGAGACCCAGGACAGCTGAATTACTGCTCCAAACTGAGGAAAGTCTTAAGCTCCACAGTTAGGATCTGAACCAAAGTCTTCTCTCTTTCCAAAGGAAGTATTCTTTTTCTGTATAACACTGCTTCCTCTTAATGGATTTTTGTTTTTGGTTCAAAATCTCAAGAGCTAAAATTTCTAGTACTAATGAACACAAATAGTACAAGAAATTCCAATATTTTCTCCCACAAGTGCTGTTCATTTTCATGTAAAACCTGAAAACCCATCCCCATGCTCAATCATCAATAGCCCATTATCCTCTTAATTATATCAGGCATAAATTTTAATTATATGTTTGTAAAGAAAAGGAAACTTTGCATTAGTTTTTTTTTCTTTCAATCAATCCTTTCAATCAATCATTGAATGCATAAAAATGTCACACGAAAATATAAAACAAAATAAAACAAACCGCTATTTTTCAAAAAAGAGAAGGCACAACCAAAGATAACAAACCAAAGATAACAGAGCCTTATTCTTTCCCTGGGGAGAATGAGACCATTTTATTTGGGGGGAATGTTAAAACAAAGCCATATACAATTTGTACCAAATACAATACATCTGTTTGTTCCCTATTTCTGAATAATTACAGTATATACAGATTCATTAAGGCACTGGCTCCCCAAAAGAATACAAATGAGTCTTCTTTTGAAACAAATTAAAATAAAAAAACCAACTTTTACAAAGCCATGAAGCTTTATCCAAAAGAAATGGCATTGTTTATTACAGGAGAAAGTCACCTCTTCTGACGTCCTTTCTTTCCCAGACTGCAACTTCTATACCACTGAATTCCCTACACACCTGTAACTTAAATTATATCATCAAGTTTTCAAAATCAACCTTCTCTTAGTACCTTTGCACATAACCTCCAATAAAAAGGTGTACTGGAAAACACTCAGGACATAAAACATTACTGTTCCTAACTGAACACATAGAAAAAGGGTCTTCAGTCGCTGAAATGTAGTTATCATCCCTGACTAGTCGCAATTTCAATGAAAGTGTTAAACAAAGCTGACCTCGGCACCAGTAAACCGAATCTGTGAGCACTGTACAAGGCTGCCTCCCTCAGGAATTGCTGAAGAAAGGGATGGTCATTAAGGCTTGTTGTATTACTGTTCTTTTTTGGTTCTTTTCCTGAAAGGCCAAAGGTCTATCTCTTCAAAAACTTTTTTTGGAGAATCGCAACTTAAAATTTAACAATCTATGTATTATCATAAATAAATATTATGCTTTATTTAGTGCTTTATTATCCATAATATCTTACTCCCTAATCCACATACTGGAGTTATTCCAGACTCCAAATTAAACATAATATATATTTCTACACACACACACACACACACACACACACACACGCACATACATGTGTACATGTATATGTACACACACATACACGCATAAACCTGAACATCTTAACATACAAACATTACATTATCTACCAACTGATAACCTAGAATCCCTTCTTTTGAGGGGAGGGGGAGAAAGTTTAAATTAGCTTGTAATTAAGAATAATCCTGAAAGTAAACAATCAACTGATAGAAACATGTTCCAGGTTACTCCCTCTTCCTCTGTATAACAACATTCACCCAGCTACTAGATCTTTCATAAAAATAAAAATAAAATTATTTTTTGTAAGTATCCTATAGTATTTTGTAAGTAGTTTGATTTTTAAAAAACAATTCCTGTAAATATCGTTTTTATAACAAAGGGAAAGAATTATTCATAAATGGCTATTATAAAGTTTTACATAAGATAAGCTTGGATTGGTCTTTTCTTTAGTACCTAATTAATATCTTAATATTTTTTAGGGTGGTTGAGGTTGGTGATTAAAAAGGTAACTCTAATTTGTCTCGATTCAAGAGAGGAGATAACACGTTCAGTTCAGGGGCAGTAATTAGTTATTCCCTGTTGCTATTTTTATTAGGAACTCTGGAATAAACACCTAAACCCACCTTTCAATTTCTTCAGTTCTTCAAATGACTCATGATTTCAGGGGATTCAAGTGATCTGAAAGTGAGCTTGAGTTTTCATTTGAGAGAAATTATTCTGGCTTTTTGATTCTAAGGTGACTTAAGAGTTGATCAGGAAGAATATAAAGGACATTTCTTCAGAGAAATAACAGAGGTTTAACTTGGGAAAGACCTGAGTAACGCGTGTGCTGTGGCCAGAAAGCCCCTATACAAATACGTCACTGTTGGACTGCCACAACTAATACGTTTGTCTCTGAACAACTTGGCCTGCACATATAAAGGTTCTCTGCAAATTAGACATATATTAACCTCAATGGAAGTTAACCTGCTCTAACACAATGAACAGAATACTCTCACAAAACAAAAGGGAAAATGTACTGTATCATATGCTAACATCTGGCATTTGAGTTTCTACTGAGTTTATTTTAGTTATGACTAAAGCAGCATTTCGATCTTATATGTTATTCAAAACCAAACTATCTACAGCCGCCTCTTTAAAAAAAAAGAAAAGAAAAGAAGAAAAACATCAGCAGCGAAAAGAAATACTTCTTTCCAGCTGTGACGAAATCTTGATGGAAAGCACAGAACAATGAATTACAAAATATTGAACAAAGTGCAATGCCACCAGCATGTAAGCAGACCTCACAGCTACTTCTGGAGGATTTATTTTCTGGAAGAAACAAATCATGAGCTGCAGAAAAAAATTCTCTTTGATTTTTTAAGCAGTTGTCAAGTTTTTAGAAATCTTTTGTCTCTGTGAAGTCCCTGGCGAATGCCTCTATGGCAAAAATGCATGACATCACACTGCCCCCTAGAGCTTCTTGGGATGGCTGTCTTAAAAGATGGCTAAAACCCTACGACTTCACCATTTCTCCCAATTATTCTCTTTCTAAGAAAAATCATGGAAAGAGAGAATTCTGATGAGTTGGGGAGGAAGGCTAAAACTTAACTTTAAAAAGCCCTACTGGCTTTTTTCTGAGGAGTACTGGCTCTGGTAATGACATTATCCATGGAACTCAAAAGCTAAAGACCCTAAAGTTGAGGAGACAATTTGTAAATGGAAAAATGCCTTAGGAAGAGATAAATTAAAAAGTGAACCATACCTCAACAGATTAAAACAATTAAAATAAAATAAACCAGGTCAACATTCTGAATGCGAAGTCGAAAACAACTATAATATCCCCTGGGATGCAGAAAAAATATACCTGTACCAAAGGAAGAAATCCCAGCAGCCATCATACTTGGGGGCATTCCTAAGCTTTCTGCTCTGCCTTTGGAAAGCTGTATTTCTATAGTTCTAGGTGGAATTCTATTAATTTAACCCCAAAACTCCTCCCTGGCCACTCCCTCCCCTTACTGATGAGAAATACACCCTGTGAGACATTCACTCTGGTGCTTCCAGGTTTGGCTCTTACACATACAAAGAAACAGCATATTTGCTTTGCTTACTCAACAACAAAGAGCAAAATCTCCCTTCCAATGCACCTTCTCTGCATTCGAGTTTCACTTACTATTACTATTGATCTTTCCTGCAGGGAGAACTAAATTTGCCCTGAAGTCTTCAGTCACTTCCACAATTAAAATTAAAAAAGAAAAAAAAATTGTTTGGATTTAATGAAAAGAGGGTGCTTTTGTTAGTAACTGCCTAACAGAATCAGAAACCTGAGGAGGATTTTATTCTGAACCATAACAATGCCACTTATTTACTTTGCCTCAATTCCTACAAATTGCATTGATGCAATGGTTTCATAATCTGTGAAACTGCACCTGCACGTATGTGAAAATGTGGTCAGCTGGCTGCTTGTTACACTAGCGGGGACACTGACCTCGGCAAGAGCAACCCCTACATCCAGTGCTAGGCAAAGTGGCCTTTGGAGGCAGGAGACAGGCGGCTTTTAAGATATATTACAACTTCTCAAACATCACGGACTCTCTTCAGGTTTGCTTGGAATGCCATATTCTCACAAATGGAAAATAAAGTGATTCTGTTTTTCCCTGCAGGTACCATTTTTGGGTAGCTGTCCTTCATGGGTTTTTTTTTTTGGACTGCAACAGTATATGTGTTTACAACTGTGTTTTATTTAGGAAAAAAAAAACTATTTTTTTCTTTAAAAATCCCCAAATACAAGACTTTCACAGAAAGCAACATGTATCATTTTTGCATCAGTTACCCAAGTGGTCTTCCCTTCCTGCAAACAGGCCCCTCGAGCCTGTGATTGGCAATGTCACTCTCTGTCCAGGGTTCTCCCTGAGAGCAAGTGGCCTGATCCTGCTCAGGAGCAGAATGTTGTTCAAGATTTGTACTACAGAAACATCTTTAACATCATCTGCTTTGCCAACAAAAGGAAAAATACGTGTTGGCCATCTCTAGATGTTTACTTTCTTCCTTCAATCAGAGTTTAATGTCCTGTGACTCTGACATTTTGGCAAGGGTTTTCTTAACCCGCAGGGCTGTAAGACGTGATGCAGGATTGTGGGCCCAGCATTCTGTCATGAGTTTCCCCATCTGCCGCAGACACTGTGGGGAAAGAAATGGGAACATTAGAGCACAATTAGGAGAATGTGCTATGATCAACAGGGTTACTTCTTAGACTCTTTGAAGTTTGAGTATGGGGAAAAAAAGATATTTCTCCTTTAAACTGTATAGGTACAAAAATCCTCAGTTCCATTTTGATTCAAGATTAAAGGATTAATGCACAGCTTTCATGTCATTCATGTTGTGACAGATCCAGACAGGTGGTTTTGCTGCCTACAGCATATTGGCTTTGTAACGCAGTGTTAAACAAATACAAAAATATTCAAGGGATTTGTTTGGTTCAACAGCATACTCCCAGATTGTTTACAACACTTTCTAAGTTTAACTCTTTTTGTCTAATTGCATGTGACACAAAGAAGGAAGCTAATTCCCAAGTACAGCTGCCTGCTACAATCACCACGTTAAATCGCACTATTTAACAAGATTAATGACCTTTTCCTAGAATCACAGACACGGTCTGTGGTATATCAATTACTAGTACTCTCACTTCATTAGAAATCCTTGGTGGAAGACTGTAGAGTTCTTCAGTGGTCATTTATTGAATGTGCTGTGGTGGGGCATTTTTTAGGCGTATGGGTTGGACCAGATGGCTACTGAAATCCCTTGTAAACTTCCAAAGTCTATGATTTTGAATTTTTCCCACTTTTTCTCAGACCTCCTATTTGGAAAGTACATACGTCACTATGCATTTCACAAACTGTAGACAAGTGACATGTCAACATGGGATAAGGGAATACCTATAGGGCCTTTAATAAAAACAAAACAAAGAAAAAACCATGTTTTTCTTTGAAGAATCATTTATTAACAGCACTTTTCCTATCTATGCCTACCATCTAGACATACGCATACATGGAAATTGTACAAGGGCTCATGTTGGGATGCTTCAGGTATCCAGCTACCACTACTATCAAGGTGGAGTTGTGTTAGGAGGACAAACTGAGAATGTGTCATCGTGTACAGCCAAGAAAAGTGAATACTGGCATGAGGAAAAAATGCTGCTTAACCAAGCAAGCCAACCAGAATCACACAAACTACTTCTATGGAATTATTCATGCCAACTCAAAACTTGAAATTGTCTTGTCTCCCTCTACTTCCTTTTCCCCCTGCCAGTTTTCAGATGAGGCTGGTATTAGCTTATTATCAGTCTTAATGAACTGACTATTCACAGAATCATAGGACCTGAGAAATGGAAGGGGCCTCACTGGTGCTCTGATCCAATCAACACCGGAAAGGAACTCACATGTTAATAATACACCTGACAAGTGACCATACTGCCTCTACTGAAATACCTTTCAGAAGTGAGAACCCACCACTTCTCCATTCAGCTCATTCCCTTTGTGACAATCCTTTCCCATTTCATGTTGTTAATAAAGGTACATTATAACGGTTTTTTTAAAAATCCCAACCTAGTCTGTTTCTTGTACTTTTGAATATCATATGTACCACAGGGATTCTGAATTTGTTTTTGCGTATCTATGAGCTAAGAATATAAAGCTTCACCTGCTAGCATACTGGTCTCTTGGATCATAGCAATAGTGAAACCAACCCTGTGGGGGGTGGGGTGGGGAGAGAATCATTCATAAGAATCAATATATTTTAAAAAATCACTCATGTAAATAACCTTGATGTAGCTGATAAGATATAAAAATAAAATGTTGGCATTATTTAGCAATGATATAACCTGTCAATATCTCTGAGAAAGAACAATATTAACTTCAGAAAATTAGACAGTTAATATTCTGGGCTTTGACTATCCATGCTTTTTTTTCCTCCACCACATTGTCAATATCTCTTTTTAAAAGAAGCAGCGCAATGAGGATTGGTACTTCAACAACAGGCTTTCTGCACAAAACTGGCCAGACATCACTCTGGTCCCACATGGACAGTGGACCTTCCTTCCATACCTCATCACTGCTCCACCTGTTGGGGAAGGATGGACGGAGTTTTTTGATGCACACAATCTCCCTCATATCTTCATAGGAGGGGTCACTGGGTACCAAGTCATGGTAGGGTAGCTGGTATTCTTCTACTATTCCTAGAAAAAAAATTGTTTTGTTCAGTTACATAATTCTGAAATGAAGGGGAGGAAATGAGTTGAAGTCTTATCAAGCTGTAACTATCAACATTAACTACACACTTTGGTACATATTTTTCTTGGATGGGGGTCAGGCAGATCTGTAATTTTGAGTTTATTGATGCAGGGAACTCAGGGTGAGGAAATCCTCTCTATCAAATCACTCTTACTAACGCTCTACAATTTGTAGTCTTAGAAAGTCGCCTGGCTCACTGAGAGTTTAAATGACCTGCCTAGGAGCATAAAGCCAGTACATATCAGAAGCTGTTCTTGAACCAGTGTCTTTGTGACTCAAGGCCAGCTTGCTATTCACTATGAGCTGTCTAGTACTAATTTGGTGAAGCAAAATGGAGACTAACCGGCATGAATCCAAGTGATGTAGACTGTCATTCTTTCCTATTAAAAATAAAGCCTTCTTTAGAACCTTCAAAAAGGAAAAGTGTTTCAAAAGAAACATCATTTACACATCATTAGTCCTTTTCTAATGCTTCAGTCTAATGATGAAACTAATTTTTAACTTGTTATTTTATAAAATGTGCTGCATTACAGTTGCCATAAAGTTCAAAACTGCTTTCATATTCATTCAAAATTTAGTAGACATTAGGGTTGGACATTCAGAGATAGCACAGAGACCCTGCTATTAAGACCCTCTAGTATTAATCAAATGGAGGGGAAAAGTCATGCTCACAAGACATGGGGCACAAGGGTAAGTGAGATGAAGGCTAGCCTAAGGAAAGGGGTTTTGAGAAATCTAAGGACAGAAATGATCACTTTCTGCTAGGGGTAGAGAAGTCAGGAAAGGTTTCATAGAGTAAATGCCACCTAAGTTGAGCCTGAAAAGAAGAAAGGGACTTCACCATAACTGCAAAAGTGGGTTTGGGAAGTAGACCATTCCAGGAATGGGCAATGTCGTAAAAAATGTCAAAACACAAGAGAAGCCACACGAGAAAAAGGAATAGGTTAGCAGAGTTTTACTGGAACTCTAATAAGTCTCTAGAGCAGGGGTGGGGAACCTGTGGCCTATAGGCCACATGTGGTCCTCTAGGAGGACCTCTTCCACACCTGAAGGCCACATGTGGCCCTCTCTAGGGTTACTGAATGAATATCTGCAAGATGGGAGCTTAATTAGGCCCTGTTTACAATGACCAAAATTTATTCAATAAACTCCAAACTTGTAAAAAGTATGATGCTATTATAACCATAAGAGCTAGGATTTCACGTCACTTCAGAAAGTAGTCAATTTGGGGAAAGAGCAGATTCTCTTGTAAAAGTAAGGTGAGGTTAAAAACCAGAGGTTTGGAGAGATCTCAGATGTGCACAGGATGATGGTGCATGCTACAGGGACCTCTCTTTCTCACTTATTTTTCAACTCTATAATGCTTAGGAAGAGCAGGTGGCTTGCTCTCTGCTCTATTAGCATTCTTTTTTTTTTTCCTTTTTTGGGTTAGGCAATGGGATTAAGTGACTTGCCCAGGGTGACACAGCTAGTAAGTGTTATGTGTTATTTGAACTCAGTTCTTCCTGACTCCAAGGCTGGCACTCTACCCAGTGTGCCACTACCTACCCCTGGCTCCATAGCCTTCTTGGAGTAGATCCTTGACATAACCATAGCAAATTCTGTTCTTTTAACAATGTTTTCTATGAACAATTATCTTATACAGAAAATCTTGGGGAATCCTTACTCACTTTTGCTGTATCTTTGAAGTAAATATCCCTTTATAAAAGCTAATTGATATTAACTGGTTAAATGAAACTAGACTGATTATCACTGGGGATTAACAGTCAGAACACAACAGAATGGGACTGAGCCAACAGCTTTAAAAAATCATCTCCAAACCCTGAAGGGGACCCATACAACGGCAGAGGGAGATGTAGCCTTGCTCAGGGTCAGACTCACGTTTAAGAGTGTTATAACAAGGATTCTTAGAGCCTATAAACCCTGTGTAGGCAGGCTCATTTAAATTTTCTTAGGAAATTATGAGAGTCTGTGGTTCTGCCTCTTCTATTTCCCATTCAAATTTTTGGCCCACTTAATGGGTCAGGTTGGAATTGTTTTAATTGCCTACTTTTTACTCATCTGATTTAATATTGTTTTGATATTTGTTCTAATAAGCTAATAATCTGATTGCATGAAGAGGACCAATTTAAAAATTACTCCTATGTTGGTAATAAGTCATTTTCTCTTTAAGATACAGCAAATTATTTTTTGGTGCGATGTTACTTAGTATGAGCCTTTTTCAACACTGCTAATACAAATAACAACATACAATCATTCATGAAGCATCACTATATTGTGGGTAGAGAACTGTTTTTGGAGTCAGGAAGATCCGGGTTCAAGTTAACCCTCCCACATATACTACATGACCCCAGGCAAGACGCTTAACCTCTAGGTGTCCCCAGACACTCGAAGATTGTGAACTAGTTGATTATCTACAAAGGTAGGGGGAATCTCTTCAATAAGAAGCTTCTTACATCAAATAAACTACAGCTCTCAAGGGGAAAATTATGCAACAACTCAATTTATGCAACCCTTTATTGGAAAACAGATGAGGAAAGTACTAATGCTTTGTTGAAATTTGATTTCATCAGTGTGGCATTCCTTTCAGTGATGCAGATTGCTACTCATCTATGCTACATGAACTTTATCCGCACTCTCCCATTAGCCTGCCACAAACTTACCACTCAACTTCCTGGATGCTTTCTCCCTGTTCCTCTGACATTGTGGTGATACTAGTATATTACATAAGCCACATTCCTCCCTCCACCCCCCAGCCTCCGGTCCTGTATTTTTCTGAAATCATTTGTGTTGCTTCTTCCAGGCAATTCTTCACCTGTAATGTGTTATAGCCAGCTTACTCCCATCCCATGTCTTCATTTTTGTGACAGGGAAATATACTCAGAAGGATGAAGCAACTTTTCCCAGGTCACAGAGCTAAGAAATGGCTGAGACAAAATTTGAGTCACACCTTCTGAACCGTGTCTTGTTATATTAACTATTATTCCCAGAAGATTGTGTATTACTGAATTCCTAATTTTATCAAAATACAACCTTATTTTAACAAAAAACCTGGCTATGTGCTCCTCTTTCCTCTCTGGCTAACCAAAGGATACCTTAAAAATAAGGACATGGGCTACCCCTTCTAGGAAGCCTTCTCTGACTGGGTCAAACCCACTTTGCTCTTTATCTCTTCTGTATGCTTTTCATATTTTTAGAATATAGCCATGTCATGTACACAGGTGTATCTCATCACCTCAATTAAATTAAAAAAAAGTATCTGAAGATAAGGACTTTGAATCCCTCTCATTTCCTCTGGGAGTGTCAGGCAAGGAGCAGATTCTTAAGGAATTGACTGCTTGTTAATGAGTGAGTGAATGCATGAATGAATGAAATAAGGAGAGGGATAGGCAGGGCTGATCTTTAGCAAAATTGCAGTCAGTGAATTGTCTTTCTCTGACCTCTCACCCACCATCTCTGTCTCCTGGCCTCTCTCAGGTGGTTGCTGATTCCAAAGTAGGCCTTTGTGATGTAAATGTAGCACAGTAATCAGACTTGGGCCCCTATACGTTACATTCTTCTGACAGGCCTGACTACTATGGAACTTCGACGATGAAACAGGTCAAGAGCCCAGAGGAATATCGTGATTATATATGCTTTTGAAAAACACAAAATGAAAGGAAAAGTAATCAGTCAGTTTTATACTTCAGCTCTTTCTTGAAGACTGAATTGCTTGTTCAGTATCTGGTCAGGGAACAATGCCTGCATTAACTTTCTCCTTATACATGATACTGTACCTACTTCAAGAGAAAAATTTTCTACTCTCAAAGAGCTCATTAAAATTAATTTCCCAGTGCAATTATGAGGCACCATGACTTAAATGCACCACTCCAAGGTAGTCCAGATCTCTGTAATGACGTTAAACTATTGCATTAACCTGAAGACAGGAAAGGATGCAACCAACCAAAATGAAAGTATCCAATGCTTAAATATCATGCATTAGTATTTCTAAGAAAACCAGTCCACCAAAAGATAAGCTATGAACAAGCAGTTTTCAGAAAATGAAATGCAAATGAATTATCAATTATATTTTAAAAAATGCTTCAATCACTACTAATCAGAGAAACCCAAATTAAAACCCATGTTGCACCTCATACCCTGAAAATTGGCAAAGATGATATGGATCTAATGCTGGAAGGGCTGTGGAAAGATAGGTATAGTAGATCTGTGAATTAATCTAACCATTCTGTATAGTAATTTGAAACCATGCAAGAAAAGTCAATGTATTGTTCATATCTTCTGACTTAGCAGTACTACTTTTGAGAGATCAAAGATAGAGAAAAAGGTTATACATATGTTAAAAATATTTAAGCAATGTTATTGGTGGCGGCAAAAAAATGGAAATAAATTCAATACATATCAATTAGGGAATGGCTAAAAAATGGGTAAAATGGAATATCGAAATATTGCACTGCAATAAATAATGAATTTGAAGAACTCAGAGAAACAGCATAAGATTTATGCAGAGTGAAAACAGCAAAACCAGAAAGAGGTCAATGAATGCAATCATCACCACCATAAAAGCAAACACCACTAAAATGTTTCAGAACCCTGATCCAAATGAGCAATCCTGACTCTAAAAGATTATTTGCTCTAGAGGGAAAGAGAACTGGTAGACTTTAGGGGGCAGAATGAGGAATGTAAAATATGGTAAGTATATCAGTTTGTTTTGCTTAGGGGTATTTCTTTACTACAAATAGAAAGGAAGTGTTGTAAAAATAAATGATGCATTTAAAATCTGTAACTAATTTCATCATAATTCTATTCCAGCTTCTTCATTAACTGTTGGACTCTTACAATATGTTATTTCTTCCATGTATATATTTCTAGTATCATTTTGAATTAAAACATTTGTCATTTAAATCTGTGGATTTATGAGGCATCATTGTGTAGCAGAAATATCACTAACCTTAAAACTGGGATTTGAATATGATTTTTAAAAACTGTATGTCTAGGGGCAGCTAGGTGGTGCGGTGGATAAAGCTCCAGCCTTGGAGTCAGGAGGACCTGAGTTCAAATCCAACCTCAGACACTTGACCCTTATTAGCTGTGTGACCTTGGGCAAGTCACTTAACCCTGACTGCTTCACCAAAAAAAAAATTAATAATAATAATGATAAAATTGTATGTCTATGGGTATGTCATTTAAATTTTTTAAACCTCAATTTCCTCATCTTTAAAATGCAAATAATAATAATATCTATAGCTCTAACCTCACCTGGTTTTATAAAGTAGGTAGAAAACCTTAGGATCAAATGAGATTCACTCTCACAAAAACGATTTATATTTGAAATTAAAAATAAATTGTTTATACTTTCTTTGGAAAAAAAATGTGACTATTCCCCACAGAAGATGGACCAAAATCACCCAGCAGCAACAACCCAAATAAACACTGGGAGGAGAACCAGGGATGAACAAAGTGACTGTGCTTGTCACTTGGCATATAAAGAGGCCTGACCCTTGAGGGGCTTACAATCTACTCCATAAAAACATAGCATTTTAGAACTATGGAAAGGACCATAAGAGTTCATCTGGGCTCCTCATTTTAATACAAAGAAATCAAAGTGCAGAGGGTGAATGACTTTTCCAACACTCTGTGGGTGAATAAACAGTTAGTTAGATGGATGGGTGGATGGATGGATGGATGGATGGATGGATGGATGGATGGATGGATGGATGGATAGATGGATGGATGGATGGGTGGGTGGGTGGGTGGATGGATGGATGGATAAATGGACAGTCAGTAGAAGACTTGAGACTAGAATTCAGGCTTTATTGATTCTTTGTTCAAAGACATAGGACCCTAAGGATGATGTTGTCACTACTGTTGGGTTGTTTCAGTCACGTCCAACTCTGGGGGGCCCCATTTGGGTTTTTTTTTTTTGCTTGTCTGGTTGGGTGTTTTTGTCAAAGATGCTGGAATGGTTTGCCATTTCTTTTTCTAGCTCATTTTACAGATGGAGAACTGAGGTAAACAGGGTTATGTGACTTTGCCCAGGGTCACACAGCTGGTAAGTGGCTGAGGCCAAATTTGAACTCAGATCCTCCTGACTCCAAGGTCAGCATTCTATTCACTGTGCCACCTTGCTGCTCAGGATGACGTTAATTATAGTAGGATGATGATAGTTACAGTTGTGCTAATGGTAATAATGATACATGATATTTTATAGCTTCTGCTGAACTTCTTATACATTCTTATTTTAATCCTCAAACTGTCAGGAAAAGTATTACTAACCCTTTTAATATACATTTTTGCTTCTTGTACTTCTGGCACAGTGCATGGAACACAGTAAGCACATAATAAATGCTTATTGACTGACTGAGAAATACAGATATCAAGAATGACTTGCCCATTGTCACACCACTAATGGAGTGCCAAAAAGAGAGTGCCATATTTGAAGTCAGGAAACCTGCCTTTGCACAAACTGTCTCCCAAGTCTGGCACGAACTCTTTCCTCATCTCTCTGGCTCTTGGAATCCCAAAGGCCTATCAATGCTCACTTTTGAGTGCCACCTTCTCCTCTAAGTCTTGGGTGACTATTCCTTTGTTTAATGCTACATGCATGCCATAGCCTCCTGCTTTCCTCTGGAGTTTCTTTTAAGAGTATTTACTGCTCCATGTGCCTTTACCCCCCAGAAAAATATAAGTTCTTTGAGGTCAAGAACCATTTAATTTTGTCTTTGTTTCCCCAGGACTTAGCACAGAGTTTTGAACACAGTAGGTGCTTAATAAATGCTTGCTGCCTTGAAATGAACCTACCACCTCAGAGCACTCTATGTGCTTACAAACAGATAGCTAGCAATAGAAAAGAGCATATGTTAAGTGCCAAGTGAATGGAACAGACATTGTTCTACAGGAGCCGAGAGGAGGTTTCAGCTGCCAAATTTTGGGGAAGCCAAGTTATGTACTATGGGCAGGGAAAGGCACAGAGTTGGGGAACTGTAATGGAATTTAATAAAACTATATATTTATGTAATAATACCTCTGCAAAATGTCTTCCTCACCTTCCCCATATTACATGTGAAGAAACTGAGGCTTAGACTATACTGGAGAAAGAACTGGACTCAGAGAATTGCCTTCTGCTTTGAGCTCTGAGAAGCACTTTTCTAGACTTTAATTTTCTTTATATCTAAAATGAGGGAGTTAAAATTGTCAGGTCCCTTTTGTGATTTTCTCATGCACGTGCCATGTTTAGCAATAGCCCAAAGATAAGAAGCTGTGTGATGCAGGGGATCGTGGGCCAGATTTGGAGTCAGGAAGACCTCCCACCCTTTGTATAAGGTCCAGTCTAGTGAACGGTAAAAGAGGTTGGAAGTCAGAGGTCCTGAGTTTCATTCATATTTCGCTTCTGTGACCTCAGACAAATCCCTTTTCCTCTCTAAGACTCAGTTTCTTCATCTTTCAAACATAGAAAATAGTATCTCTAGTGTCTACCCTATTGTAGTGAGATTCAAAAGAGATGATTTGTCCATCCATCCGTCTATCTAACAAGCTAGCTAGCTAGCTTAGAAATCTATTGCAGTAGGGGCAGCTAGGTGGCGCAGCGGTTATAGCACTGGCCCTGTAGTCAGGAAGACCTGAGTTCAAATCTGGCCTCAGACCAAACACTTGACACTTACTAGCTGTGTAGCCCTGGGCAACGTCACTTAACCCCAACTGCCTAAAAAAAAAATTTTAAATTAAAAAAATAAATCTATTGCAACAGTTCAGGAGAGAGATGATGAAGGCGAAGCAAAGGTTCCCAAACTTATTGGTCTTCAAAAAATTTACTCAGAACCCCCCTGGAAATTTACTTTCTTTAACCTTTTAACAGATTTTTTAAAAATCTGCATCATTAAAAAAATACTACCTCCCTGCATCATTCCAGTGGCCCACTTTGGGAACCTATGGTAAGGTGGTAGCTGTGTAAATGGAGAGAATGGATACATGTGAGAGACTTTGTAGTGAAGAAAAACTACATGACTTTGGCAACTGAGTTAAGGACGACAACATAGTTATGAACCTGGGTAGCCAGAAAGCTGACAGTGCCCTCATCAGGAATAGGGAAGTCTGGGTGATGGGAGAATTTGGGAGGAGAGATCATGAGCTCTGCTTTACACAGGATGAGCAGAAGAGGCTTTGGGGACATCCATTTTGAAATGTCCAACAAGTCATTGGTGGTGTGGTGCTACAGGTAAGGAGAGCTTGGGCTTCAATAAATAGATCTTGGAGTCATGTACCAGAGATGATCACTGAACCTAGGGGAACTGATGAGGTCACCAAGCAGAAGAGGAGAGAGAGAAAGGAGAAGAGAGCCCAGGACAAAGTTCTGGGGAATATTCACAGTTCATGGTCATGACCTGGATGAAGAACCCGCAAAAGAGATGAAGAAGTAGTGGACAGAGAGGCAGCAAGAGAACCGAGGGGAAACAGAGTCATGAAAACCCGGAGAGGATTATTATTATTTGAATGAACAAACACTCAGTGCAGTTTGGTGGCCACACACAGAGTCTGGAATGAGGGCTAACGCAGAAGCAAGATCGTTTAGAATCTTTAGCAGCACAATAAGTTGTTCTCTACTGAAATGCTGCCCCGTTGAAAACAAAGGAAGCTTGTCGGGTAGCAGTGACTCCACTCAGTGAGGTCAGCTAGGTAGCTGGCACAGCAGTCCATGGGTGATACCTCTCCAGATATATACAAAATGAGATGTACATTTTTTTTTTGCCAAAGCAAGGATATTGTTTTGTTTAACTACGTATATTTGTTACCAAATTTTTTTTCTTTTTCTTTTTTCCAATAGGAGGACAAAGCCAGAAAGAAGTCTAGACAAGAAGAAAGCTCTGAAAGTTACAAATTCATTTTTACAGAATTAAAAAGAAAAGGAAACTGTACATAAAACACCTACACTTCCATTTACAATCCTCTTTTTTCTATTTGGTGCTTATTAAGAATAAAATTGGGAATAATTTTTAAAAATAGTAAAGGAATAGTACAGGAAGACCTGGACTGAGGTTGTTGGAACAGAAAGAAAGGAATGGATCCCACAGAAATTATAATAGGTGAATTTACAGGAGTTAGGTTCACAGAACTGCAGAGCCGTAAGGCACTTTGATACCATCCAGTCCAATATCCTTATTTTGCAAATATGGAAACAGAGGTCTAGAGAAGTTAAATGATTTCCTTTAAGGTCACACAGCCAGGTAATGGTGGACCCAGCACAACGAGCCAAGTTTCTTCACTCCCACTCCAGCGCTTGTGGTCCACAAGACCATGTTGGCAGGTTGACCATGGAAGACAGTGGTAGGACTCAAGGATGATACTGGGGTTTAGCATCCGAGGGAACAGGCTATTGACTGAAACCATTGCTGCTTAGTAGGACTGAGAGCTCTGTCCTTGGAGCCAAGAAGTCCTAGATTCAAGTCTCTAAAACATTCTGGCTGTGTTATGTAACCTCTCAGTACTCTGGGAAACTGTCTTTATAAGATTATACATCGCAGAGCAGTTATTGACCCATATTGGTAGAGAGAATTTCCTTCCCTGGGTGTTCTCTATAAAAAATAAATTAATGGTTTAGGACCTATCTAGTCCCTAGAAGGCTCAAAGCAGGAGCTTATATCCAAGCAGGGGATAAGGGGCATGGGGTGGAGATAAATTCAGTTTTGAACTCTAAGGATCATCTTTGTGGGAACTCAGGCTCTAAATGTCAAACAGTATTGTGGTTACTTACCACCAGATACACATCTCCGGGCGATTTCCCACAGAATAAGGCCAAAACTGTACATATCTGCCATGATGTAGGACTGGAAGTGGTTCCGATTCAAACTCTCATCTAGCACCTCCGGTGGCATGTAACGTTTGGTGCCGACTCGAGTGTTGGGTGGGATGTCTACTTCATTGGTGTCACTGAGGGGAAGAGCACAGCACTGACATCAACACAGACGAAAAACACGAGCAAAATCAACTTACAGCTAGAGCAAGGTCAAAAAGTACTGCGATGGAATGCTTGGGAGAGGAATATCTTAGTGTGTGCACAAGGACTCTGCTTTGAAAGGCTTACTTGGCTGAGGCTATATGAAGTATTTAAATTCAGGCACAGAAAATATAAGACTCCACAGGGATGCAGCTGGTAACATTTGGGATTTCATTAGCATTAAACTAATGCAGTTGGTAACTATCAAATATTCATTAAATGTTTAAAAACAGCCTTTCTCAGATTCATAATTTAGCAGATTTGCTATTAAAAGAGGATTTAGGAAGCCAGAAAAAAATCTTCTAGTTCTGGGGAAAAAACATGACTGAGAATAGGGCCCAGAGCTCATTCCAATCCTAGAATTTTACAGTGGAAGGCTCTCTGGTTTTCATCTGGCCCAATTCTTTCATTTTTACAGAAAAAAACAAGTGAAGTGTTGAAAGAAAAAAAAGTGACTTGTTCAAGTTTATACTCTTGGTTTAGGCAGAACTGAGCCTAGAATCTGGGTTTCCTGACTTTGCATTCAATTTCCATAACATTAATTCAGTCTCTGTTACATATTTTTTTCCTAAATGTTCTAAGGATTCCTCACAAAAATGTAAAAATAATTGCATTGTTTATTATTATTCTTTTAATTCTGGACCTCTGATTTTTATCAGCATCAGGAAATTCTAGGGAGGAAACTATTCTACAATTTAGTCTTAGCTGCCTGGGGGAACTGAGAAATTAAAGCACTTGTTCATGGTCATACAATCTTAAGAATCAAAGGCAGAACTTGAACCTAGGTCTACCTGACTGTCTGTAGCTCTCTCCTACCAGATATTCCAAATTCCCCATACCAAATTAATGGGGCCATGTCATTGGCAATGATTTCATTTCAATTCAATCTGACTTTGATCTTCTAAAACAAAAGCTGGACTTGAGTCAAGAAATTCTGGTTTGAATCTTGTTAGACAATACTAGTTGTGTGACCACAGTCTTGGGGTTTCTGAGCCCAAGCCTCCTCATCTGTAAAATAGGACAAACAATGTCTTACCTAATCGCCATAAGTAAATCATCTGGAAAACCTTAAGGAGTAATTATTGAATAATTCGCATTCAATAAATAAGTATTTATAACAATAATTTCATTTGAAGATCACTGTGCTTAGGGATGGAGTTAACATAAGGTGGTCATGCTCCTACAGAGTTCACTGTTATTGTTGTCTTCCTTTGTTCTAGAACAGGACCATGACATCAGGAAGGGGATGCCATGACTTGCAAGTGAATTGGATTTAAGTGAGAGAGGACTGTGCAAAGTCACTAGCCTCACTTTCTCCTCCAGAGCCAACTGGGCCCAGTAGCAAGACAAAGATCAGGATGACTGGAGATAGCTATGCAGGGAGTTCATTATCTTATAAAGGGCAACCCATACTTTTTTTTCCTTTTTTTTTGGTGAGGGCAACTGGGGTTAAGTGACTTGCCCAGAATCACACAGCTAGTGAGTGTTATGTGTCTGAGGTCGGATTTGAACTCAGGTCCTCCTGACTCCAGGGCCAGTACTCTATCCACTGTACCACCTAGCTGCCCCAAACACATACTTACGTCAAAGATTCATGACTGCATCAGTGTAAATTCTCCCTCCACTGACACAGGCAGTAACCTTCCCTCTTTTTAGTAGCTTTATTAGGTTGTTGGCTTGCCCACACTCCATCACCTTCTGGTCAACCCTCTTTCTGATCCTTTCCAAACTTTGCTGGGCTGGTCCTCAAAAAACTGACAGAATCTCTCACTGAGTACCCTGCACTAGAAGCTGGTCCAACTTGGCCTTCTAAGATCCTGAAAGCTTCCAAAGTTTGAACGCCACAGACATGGGCTCATGATCACCCCCATTGCTTAATGAAGGCTCATTAACGAATATATGCAATTTAAAAGTGATTCTATGTAAGAGTATGAAAAAAGGTGAAAAATGCTTTGTAAGCACCTCCCTAGGACCTAGGAAGGATAGGCTAGATTTCAATGAAGGGAGAGTTGACCAAGTGGAATGATAGTTGGAGCAAAGACCCAGAGGGAAGCAGAAAGAGAGTACGTGGAGAGTATGCACTCCTTTTGACTGAAGTTTAGAGTGCACAGTGGGAAGAAGTATGACAGAAGCCTGGAAAGGTAGACAGCCTAATGCCACACCAAAAGGTTTCAGCTTCATTCAGCAGGTACCAGGAAGACTCTGAAGGACTTTAAACTGAGGAGTGAAAGGACATCTTTAGATATGGCAGATTCATTTGGCAGCTTTGTGAATCACGGATTGGAAGTGGAGTGGAGAGAGGAGGTGAGAAAATCAGATAGGCTAAATCATAAAAGTATAGATTTTTAAAAATACAACACTGACTTACGACCTCATTCAATTGGTCTATGTGATTTTGCAAATAAGATCACAAATCTGTTTGTAGTTCTTAAAGGCAAGAGTTTGAAATCTGAATTTTTATATCTACCAGTAATTTCTATGTAAGTCTGAACTGTTTACATCTATTCATAATTTTTAAATCCCATAGCTTTACTCCTAAAATATCTTCAAAATCTGTTTCCCACCAAAAGTTTCAGCTTTCCTAAATCCCCAAAGTAAATAGTTATTTCAAATGATATACCGTCAGTTTTTGGAATATTCATCACTTTAAGCAAACAAAATATGGGGGGATGTCTTTGTCTTTACAGAAACCAAGATATAAATGGAGAATAGTCAAGTAAAATAGCTTGTTCAAATATGGTCATAGCACTCTGGTCCTCTTCTGGCATAGGATAGGGTTCTGGAAAGTGAATATATACCAGGAAGAAATGTGATTAGTGCTTGTATTCAAATACTGACAGAGGTTGGGTAGATGGAGTTAATTATTTATTGGACTAATTGTTAAGTAGAGATTTTTAACAAATCTGCCTCTCCTCTATTACCTTTAGTCTTTTCAGCTTTTGGCTTTGAATCCCAGGAACTCTGCTACCTCCTACCTGTGAGACTTGGGAAAAGTCACTTTGTCTCTCGAGACTGTTAAAAACAATGATTTCTTGAATTGCTTTAATGATAATTTTACCCTTCAAATGATGACAGATCCAAAAGTTCTACCAAGGATATGACTCTTACCATCAGAGAGAAACTGAGTGCTTAGTGGAAATGCCAGGAATGTTGGTGGGAAGTGACCATTCCTCTTAGAGTTTGGGATAGAAATAGAGAAGAAAGCTGGGCATAGTGAAAAATGCACCAGAGATTTTGAGAAAACATATTTCAAAAGGTTCAAAGAAAGATAGGTTAGAACTCAGAGACATGCAGGTGAAGGTAAGACAGTGTAAGCAGGATGGGAAGCTCTCAGAAATGAAATCCCGAAGACACCAAAGAGAAACAATTCTGAGAAAAGGAAAAGGAAGATGCATCTATAAGCATTAAAGTGGATGCACTGGGAACTCAACAACCAACTTAAATTTTTTAAAGACATGTAAAGAATATGGAAGTAAGGGCAGGCAACCTAGGCAGGCATTTGTTTTCTCTCAATGGAGGGACTTGACTCTTTAAAAAAAAGAAAAACTGGGGGAAGGCAGAACCAAAACGGTAGAGAAAAGGCAGGGACTTGCCTGAGCTCTTCTAAACAACTTTAAAGAGAGACTCAAAATGAATTCCAAAGTAGCAGAATCCACAAAAGCACAAGGTGAAGGAATTTTCTAGCCCAAGACGACTTAAAGAAGGACTGCAGGAAAAAATCTGTCTCACTCAAGTAAAATGGGAGAGCAGCCCAGCACAGGAGGTCTCTGGGCAAGTCAGGGAGAGGTCTCTAGCCTCAGTCTCATCTCAATTTTCTCTGAAAAAATGTTAAGATTTTGATGCTGTTTGAGTAAGCAGAAAGAAGCATCAACATCTTCTTCTGGGTGAACCATAACAGAATCACAGCATCTTAATGAAGTGGAGGCTGGGTTAGACTTACTCATGTTTATTTAGACTCTGGAGTGAAATGAATCTAAAAAGAAGATGGTCAAAAATAATTCAGAACAACAAGGAAAAAGAAAAGGGAATAAAGCATTTACTAAGTGCCTACTTTCTGTCAGGCACTGTGCTAAGTACTTTAAAGTGGCTCATTTACTCTTCATAACAACTTTCTTTGGTAAGTACCCTTATTATCCCCATTTTAAGGTTGAAGAAGTTGAGGCAAACCACTATTAAGGGATTTGTCTGGTGTCACATAACTATTAAATTTCTTAGGTGAGATTAGAACTAAGGTCCTTCTGCCTTCAGGGCTAGCTCTCTGTCCATTCTGTCACACAGTTGCTGGTAATAGCAGTGTCTTACACCAAAAAGAATTTAAAACTGTAGCTGAATTGGATCATGTTGGGTAGGAAATCCACACTTGTTTACATAAATTTTAAGGGACTGCATGAGGAAACCGGTGTGGGTAAAAATAAAAAAAATAAAAATAAAAAAGATCTGTATAAGAAATCTTAGACCTTGTCTACTGCCTCTGCTGCTGTACAACTCTTAGGTATCTCCAAGTTAAATCAAGACAACAAATGAGTTTTCACAGAAAACATACAAATGGGTTAAAATTCTGAAAATGATCAATATACTACATTGCTAATAAGACTATTTTTGCTGAAACATAAAACCATACATCTTCAGAAGTTAAAACACTGAGAAAAAAGTGGGTGCAAACAGAAGAAACCAAAATAAGGAGTGTCACAAGTCAATAAGGCTGAAAACTACACCCAAATTTGAAAAATTATAGACATTTAGAGCTGAAAGAGACCACAGAAATCATGTGGTACAACCCCTCATCTAACAGATGAGAAAACTAAGGTCCAAAGAGGATAGATAGATGGCTTACTCAAAGTCACACTGCTAATCAATAGCAGTATTCAACACAACAATTAGATTTATACATCCAAGTGTGTTACTCTGAAAAATGGGTTGTTGTGCTAGTAGCAAGGTGTGTTTTGGTTAAAGGAATATTTCTTTACCATCCAGTCCCAGGTTACAGAGCTATGTGATGACTATATAAGGGTGTGTTCCTGCCTGCAAGATGAATCCATAGCGCCTCACAAAATATTAGTGGAAACTTTTGGAAGCCACTTAAAAACATCTTCCTCATAGGATCTGAGTAGGATTATACTTAAAAATATTAAACAGATTTAACTTCTTGAGATATTTTAAGATCTGAGAAGAAGAGGACTCTTTAAGCTTTGTTATTAATTTTCCTGATAATTACTTCTTATTTCATATCTAACTAAAGTCCCCGGATACAAAGATTCACCCATTTCCTCTTTATTTTCACAATTTTTAAAAGAGCCCTTTGTCTCTTGTCCCAGCCATCTCTTCGCTGTCTTAGAAACCCCAATTCACTGAGCTCTTCTTCAGACTGTGTTTTCCAGTCTTTTAGCCATCATCATAATTTTCTTTGGAATGCTTTTCACACTTCCATGCTAGTCCCAAGTAGGATTCTGAAAGCATGGTCCTCTGCTGATGAGAGGAGGACAAGGAGGAATTAGAAGAGAATGATGAGGAAGAGGAGGAGAAGAGGAGGAGAAAGAGGAGGAAAAAGAGGAGGAGAAAGAGGAGGAGAAAGAGGAGAAGAAGGGAGAGGAGGAGTTGAGTATGACCTCTACTCCATAACTCAGATCAGTGATGAAAATAGTAAAGCTATCACTGACACAAAAATCTTTTTAGTTGCAAAGCAAGTTATTTGAAATAAAAATGGAAATTTACAAAACTTGTCATTACTTGCTGAAGTGCTGAAAAAAAGGATCCCTAAATTATGCAATCTGTAAAAAGTAAGACGTGATATAGAGGAATGAACACCAACCAGCTGAAGAGCAAAAGGAGAACAGGGTTCTGGTCCACATTCCTGCACAGACTCACTATGTACTCCAAGGGGTTGGAGTAGATTATCTATCTCTAAAGTACCTTTCACGCTTAATATTCTAGGATTCTAAGACCCTTGTTCAGCTGCTTTGATACTAACCTAATAAACTTAACTGCCAATCCCAGATCAGCAATACAGCATGCTCCATTTTTCTTCACCAGGATGTTCTTACTTTTCAGATCACGATGTGCAATTGCTGGTTTTCCTTGAGTGCTAAAGATCTCTGTATGTAAGTGGCATAGGCCACTGACTGAAGAATAGGCCAACTTTAACATTGCTTTCGTATCTAGGGTAGTGGACTTCAGATAATCATACAAGGACCCATTCTCGTGGTAGTCTGTGATGAGATATAGTTGGGTCCAGGACCCTGTGCCTTTGATATCTGCAGCAATAAATCCTAAAAAAGAAGGAATAAAGAAAAAAAAAGAAGCAAAAAAGTTTGGAGATTAGTATTTTCTCAATACTTCCAATAACATAATGCATATTGTTTGAGCTCAGTAGGAACCATGGGTTGCTTTTGTTTCACATCTACATCTGGTGCCTGATTAAAGCTATAATAATATTAAGTTACTAACACCAAACGAAACCAATTAAAATAAGGAAAGGAATAAGTAAAATATATCATGTGCAATTAATTGACAATTTTTTTCTAGAGTGTGCCAATTTGTTTAGGTTATCATAATTACTGTAATTCATGCAGAAGAGCCAAGATGGTTTAATCAAGAACAGCTCACACCAATCTAATCTTATAGATAAGGGGAAGGTATAGATATAATTTGGTTCCATTTTAACAATTATGATATTCTTGTGGAAAACATGGAGAGATGGGTGCTAAATGATAGTACAGTTAGGAAGATTAGGAAATTGTCTGGATGTCTGGATCCACAGATTATTCTGTTATTAATGGTTTACTGTCAACTTGTAAAGTCTTCAGTAGAGCATCCCAGGAACCTAGTCTTGGATCTCTTCTGTTTAACATTTTTATCAATGACAAGAGATAAAACTTGTAGATGACATTCTTAGTACATCAGTAGAAGCACAATGCTGGTAAACATACCTAACATTGGTTAACAGAGTCAGGATTCACAAAGACTTGACAGGTTGGAAGGCTGAATCAAATCTAATATTATGAAATTTAATTATCTTTATCAGAGATTGTCTTTAGTTCATGGCTCAATAACAGTAAAGTGGGAAAAGCATGTAGGGCTCTTAGTGGATTACATGCTCAATTAGAATTGGCAGTGTGGACAGCTAGGTGGCGCAGGAGATAGAGCACCGGCCTTGGATTCAGAAGGACCTGAGTTCAAATCTGACCTCGGACACATAACATTTACTAGCTGTGTGACCCTGGGCAAGTCACTTAATCCCCATTACCCAACCAAAAACAAAAACAAACAAAAAAACCCACAAAACAAACCAATAAAAAAAGAATTGGCAGTGTGACATGACAGCCGAGAAATAATTTGATCTCTACTTTAAAGACACAGCATTTGGTATCGTCGCATTGTACCCTACTGTGTTACGTGTTCAAATCTGGTCATCATTTTTTAAGAACAGCTAAAAACTGGAGAGTACGCAGAGTGGGGGCAAGTGGGATGGCTTTGGAGTTCTCTAAATATGAAATCTGGCTGAAAGAACCAGGGATATTCACCCATTGAAAACTTAGGAGGAAACTTTGGGGTAGGTGGGCAGGATATCTATTCTTAAGTATTAAATATCTGTGTTTAAGTACTGAAAAGGGCATTCATGTGAAAGAGAGATTAAATTTGTTCTTCTTGGCCACAAAACACAGAGCTAGTAGCAATGGCTAGAAGTTATAAAGATATAAATTTCACTTGGAAAAGAAACTTCCTAAGAAGTAGAGAGCTACCCCAAAATGGTGTTCTTTTAAAAAAGGGTTAGTAGACCGACATGGTTCTCTTTTCAGGTATAGGTTCTCTTCAGCTCTGAAATTTTATGATTCTGTGAACAGAAGAACAATTCACTAAATAAGGACTAGAAAGAATTACTTCATCTAACCAAACTAACCCATGCAGAAACACCTTTCTGTGTAAAATTTGAGGCAGATCATTTTACCCTAAGATGATTAAGAAGAAAATGACTTCTTGATAGAAATAAACTGTACAGACAGAATTCATCAGCTGTTACCTAGTCATTATGGACAGGAATTGCTGATGCATTCCGTAGCTGGGCCCAGTATTCAATATGAAGACAGCAGGCTGGATCTCATTTGGGAAACTGCCCAGCAGTTTCACTGGTTCTATGTTACTCCGTTCTTCAGAACTTATCTTTTTAATACTAATATTCTCCTAGTGCTGTCATATGGATGTGAATCACAAAATACCACCTTCTCACAATCACGCAAGAATCAAAACTGTATAGGACAAATGGGAAATGCCAACTTTGGTTTGTGCAAGAGAGGCGACATGTAAAACACAAAGATATTTATTTCACAGGGAAAGGAAGTGATCTGGCCATATATTGAGGGCAAAGGGTAACAGATGTTCAGCTCAAGTGCTACAATGGGACCCTTGAAACAGCTCTCTACACTTCCAGAGACCTTCTATGGATAAATGTGACTGTAATAAGAAGATAAGGCATGAATAGGCTATAATCCATACCAATGAAGAAAATACCCATCCTAATGAGATCACTGATCCCCAAAACACAGAAAAAGACATTTTGTATAATCTTACCTAACTTTGAAAAAAATTCACTTCCGTTAGAACAGTCTGATGTGAGACGGTTCAGAAATAACCTAAGCAGTAGTGGGGATTTTAAATTTCCAGTTTCCCAAGCAATTATTTTTCTTAAAGGATTCCTCCCCCTCTCAGCCTAATATCTGGAAATACTCTGACCATGTATTCTGAGGACATCTTGCACTGCAGGACTAACTGTGTGGCCAAGGCCAGGAAGACAAGTAAAGACAATGTTTCTAGGTAGTTCACGTAAGTTGAATCACAAACAGTACTAAAGAAAATCTTAGAGCTAGAAAACAAATGCAGAACATTTTTATACTGATTTCTACTCACCCAAAATATTTTCATGCCTCATCAAGACGGTCTGATATATTTCTGTCTCTCTGAACCAGCTGGCTTCCTCAGTGGTGAAGAATACTTTCACAGCTACCTTTTCACCACGCCACTTTCCCATCCAAACTTCCCCATAGCGACCTTTTCCAATCTGTTTGACCATCTGAATCTGCTTAGCTATAGTCCTTTGGACCTATTAAATCCCAAAACACACTGTTAGTATATTCACAGCACAACATATTTGTTTAATCTCTCTTGAAAAGAAGCAGTGACTACATACTTGGGCTATTGCTTTTCTTATATAGACAATGCATTTCAAGATAACTTTAAATCATTTCTATATTATGAGATAGTCTTTTTATCTATAGACATTTTATTGGGGGTAAAAACTTGGAATTAAAGGTTTTACACTGACCAAGAAAATAGAAAAAAAAAAGGCTTTTTACCAAAGATAGCTCCTATTAAGACTGAGCCTTGTCTTCAGGCATGGAAATCATAAATGGAAATTACTTTAAAATTAGTGGAAAAAGCAATCAGCAAGCATTTATTAAAAGCCTACCAGGTACAGGGCTACGTTATGGCAGTCTTGCTATCAGTTCTCTTAGACAATAACTATTATATCACAGCATCTTGCATGAGGACCTCACAAATATTTTCTCATCATCACCAAAACCATGGCTTCTCCTTTTAATGTATGCTTTATATTTCAAATGCCTACTTTATTACTCAAGATGGCTGCCTTTTCCAACCCTACCCGCTTTGTCACCCTAATTTAGAATGGGCTTAGAATCTCAGATTCTTTGTGAAGTCTCAAAGGACCACTGGATTGAGAGATGGAAGGGACAGAGAGAAGCTAATGACTTCATTTCAAACCAATTAATCAATATGCAATTATCAAAATTGCCTGCTATATGCCAGGCACTAGGAATACAAAGATAAAACAGTCCCTGACATCAAGGAGCTTACATTTCTTTGAGGGATACATGTACATATATGTGTGTATATACAGAACACATACATAATAGAATATATGTATATGTGTATATACAGAATTTGAGAGTTAAAAGGGACTTTAACAGTCATCTAGGTCCAATCCATACACAAAAAGAATCCCCATTATAACATCTTCAACAAGTCGTCATCTGGTCTCCACTTCCAAGTTGGGGGAAACCTACCATCTCAGAGGGCAGGCTATGTCTACTTTCAGAAAACTTGGATGCTTTCCCTCACATCTAGCCTAAACTTGCCTCTTTCCATGTCCACTGCTCTGGTTCTACCCTCTGGGGCCCAACAAAACATACCTTAAATCCCCATTCCATGTGACAGCCCCTCAAATACCAGAAGTCATTTACCTTGGGTCTTCTCCAAGCTAACCATCCTAGTTCCTTCAATCAATCTCCATGTTATAGACTCCAGGCTCTTCACCATCCTAGTTGTCCTCGTCTGTCAACCTCACTCTTGAATAAAACACCCAGAACTGAACACAAATGACCCAAAGAAGGTCAGGAGACCTCTTAATGTAGCACAAGATCTCATTCTTTTATTTTTTCCCCACCTGATACTGCTGATCAATATCCAGCCTGCAGTCCACTAACACTTTTTTCAGAACTGTCTGTTCTTGCTACCACTACCCTCTACCCCTCTGCCTGGAAGGCAGAGAGAGCCAAGGCCTCTAAAACCTGCATTTAAGGGAAGGGCTCAGCACAGACATCTCTTCATTTCCCACCTGGTTGCACTACTTTGGGACTTCTCCATCCTGCCAAGGATATAGGCCATCTCCTTTCTACTCCTGATTTTCACCTTCCTTTTGTATGTGGTCTTCCATCATTAGATTATAAGCCACTTGAAGGAAGGGGCTATCTTTCTTTTTATGTATTGTATCTCCAGCTTAGTGCCTAGAACATAATAGTTCTGATTGTAATGCCTAATCTTTATTCCTTGATCTTTTCCACAGGAGTATGAGAAACTTAAATAAAATATTAGTAAAATCTAGCTAAAGTTTATCTACAACATTCTCCTCAATTACTAGTTAAATAATCCCATCAAAAACAGAAATGAGTTTGGTACATTCCAGGCACAAGGAACATCTGTGAAAAGGCTTCAATTTTTATTGTTATAGCAGGCAATAAATTATAAAGTGAGAATTTTTTTAAAAAAGAAGATAACAGCATCTCAGAGGTAAAAATGAATAATTATAGATGCTATAGACTAACAAAGAGCCAATGGAATCAGTAACTTGTGTCTAGAGCCATCCAGCAAAAGGACAATGACCTAACATTTGTTCATGAAAGTGAATTATTAAAAATTAAATAATGTTTAATACACTTTTAAATTTAATAAGGCAACATAGTGAGAGGTGGTATTACATAATACATAGATAGCTGGCCTTGGGGTAAGAAGACCTGAGTTCAAGACCTGCCTTTGACACATACTGGCCTAGTGACCCTGGTAATACCCCTTTACTTCCCAGTGCCTCAGGTATCTCTTGAAAACTATTAATTGCAAAGCAAATGTTGACCTGCACCTATCAAATCACAGATTTAAAAAAATAAAGTGAGGACCTGGTAGTGTACTATTATACCTAGAAAAGGTATGAGAGAAATCTAAGTAAGGATAGGAAGGCTTGACCTCAGTAATTACACATGCAAAAGGCAAAAAAATACAGGCTTATGTGTCTGAGGTTGCAGACTTTTTACTTTTAAAGTTGCATTACTCCCTGCCCCGTGAGCCTTCAGAATCTCTCCTGTGTTTCCCTCATTAAAGCAAATGCCTTGGATTCCCCACATACATCTCCAAGGTTGGCACTGATGACCATCAGGAAACTAACCCTCTCCTAAATGGAAAAGTCATGGGCTTCACCTTGAAATAGGAGTCTTGAGGCTGAAACAAAGCCTCCTTTCCCAATGTGATGCTTGGATAGGAGTTACATGTGATCCTTTGGACTTACGAAACAGGGGCCAAGGAGCAAGTAATGGAACCCTTAGTGAATCCAGGGTGAATATGGTTCCATATGTAACACTTCCCAATCTGCTCATGATCAGAAAAGGCTAAAGTCTGGATTGTAATTCTACCCTTGCATTAAAAAACAAACAATCACATTACCCTCTCTATGTCGAGAGGTTATCAGTGAGGAATGTAACTGAGCTCCCCTGTCTACCTAACATAAGAGGGCTTTTTCCCTAACCAATGACCTACTTGTTTCACTAGTAATCAAACACCCTGTGGATCTTGCATTTACAGAAGTTAAGGTTTAAACTCTGACACTATTCTCCTCATACCAGAAGAGGGAGCCCTGATCCACTTCCTGAGCTCTGAGATTGTTCAATTAAATCTTTCAAGGATTCCCCTGGAGGGATGTAAGTCTCATCCTGTTCCAGTCCGATGCTGTAACGAGGTCTAGCTTCTTGTCTTTTGTACCTAAAGATGTAAAGAGCAGATGTAATTTAGCTACCTGGGTACAGTAACAGGTTAAAAAAAAACACTGCATAGAAAACGATTCACCAAGTTCACTTTGACACAAATCACTGACTCCCACAGTAATCAATACAATGAGCTATAATTATTCCAGCAGAAATAATTTTATATTTATTAACCAATCTCCATTCTTTACATTCTTCTCTCTTGCTATAGTTCCTGAACTTACTTCAATTATCTCCTATCAATATTTTATATCAATACTATCAATATTTATAGTTCCTGAATCATACTTCAATATGTTCTTACTGAATGATTTAAAGAATCATTACTAAAGAGAACTGATGTTTTGACTAGTTTCACCACTCATTCCGCACACTATTTTACTGTATACTACTGTATTATTTATAAATATATGTATATTATATATTACACTGAATCTTTGAAAGCTTACACTCTACCTATTATCATACCAATCCATTTGTTATGTACCTTATTTTCATATTGAGGGTAGCAGAAGAAATCATACAGAGATCTAGAAACTGGAAGGGACCAACCTCTTCTTTTAGAAATAAGCAAACTGAGGCCCTGGGAAATGAAATGTCTTGCCCAAGGTTACTCAGGATCACAGGCACTGATTCTAAGTCGTTTGACTCTAAAGCTGGGGCTATTTTTGTTGTTCCAAAACAACTTCCTTCTCAAATGCCATCTAGTCTAATGGGTGCGCGAACAAGAATTCCATTTTCTAATACTCACGACAAGTGCTGATGGAACTTTCACTAGGTGACAGTCTCCAAGGTTGAAAACCCCTAGTAAAGTGCAACCACTATGTCCCAAGGAAGCCCATTCTGGCTGGGGACAGTTGAGAAAATAATTATTAGAAAGCTTTTCCTTACATCAAATCTAAATTGGCCTCATTGTACCTTCTGTTAATAGATTCCAGTTCTAACCTCTGGGACCAAGCAGAGAAAGTCTAATCTCCTTTCTTCAATTGTCAGTCAAGTACTTGAAGGCAGTTAAATTACCATTCAGTTTTCTTTTTTTCCTCAGAAATTTTTTAAATGGTAAGATGGACAAAAGGCATTAATTAAATCTGCAATTAAGCTTTAAAAATACATTTCACCAGTAGTTTAATTTTCTCTTATCCCAAATCTTTTACCACACACAATAATAAATAAAAAATTTAATTACTTGAATTATATATTTTTTATTCTTTGCAAGACTAGGGTGGCTGATCTTCTTAATGAGAATGTTAGGCTGAAGGTAAGTAGTAGAAGCAATAAAATGCCTTGACAGGTTATCAACTGCCTTATCTATTGAACTTTAATAAAATTATTTTGATCTTATAAATTATATTTTAGTAATCAGTAAAAGTTTTCCAAAAATTCTTCAATTATATGGGGCCAGTGGGGGAACAAATCTCACCTTTTTTTCTTACGAGGACAAAAGCTGAATCCACTGACTAAGCCATTTTACCCCAAAGGCCTACAGCAGTTCATACATGTATGTCAAACTTTCCTGTATGAAATAATACCTACAAAATACCTATGCAATTTCAACATCTTCAGCAATACAAGTACTTATAGCTTCCATTTATCTCACCATTGGGACTGATATTAATAAATGGCAATAGGTTTTGGGTTTTGGTTTTTTTTTTTTAAGAAAAAGTACAACTTAAAATAGTTTCCATGTGCCTAGAAATGAGGTATATATTTGGATTTTTTCCAGGTAGTAAATGTGCAAATGAAACCTTACCTTACCCAAACACTTAGAGTATTAGCATTTGGAAGCTACCTCCTACACAGAAGGGTTCTACCTACGTGTTGGAGACTTACCTGAAATAACAGAATAGTATTATAAGGATCAAAAGGAAGCTACAGACTGTCACAGATATCAGTATGGCCTTATGGTGTATGGCTCCATCAACAAATTCTGAAATTTAAAAAAAAAAAAGTCATAAGATGGAGATGCCTTTAGCTCCAAGTTCAAAGGCAGATACTCTCTAAAAACTGATTTTTTGGCAAGTTGTGAAAAGTTCTCTCAATTTTTTATTTCAAATGTAGTAAAAACAATCCTTTGCCCCTCTTCTCTGGGGGAGTTAATTCCTTCATTTTCGTATCTCTCTGACATGGGGGTGAGATGTCCTAACTGGTGAGTGAGTAAATGCAAGTGGATACCTACCCGCTATATCCAGCCAGCCCCACACTCTGTTCACATCTACTCTCTTCTGGGAATTTTGGTGCTTTTGTTTCGAATCACCAAGAACATAATTGAAAAACTTCAAACTGAAAAGGGAATGGGGGGGCAGGAGCAGCAGAAACAAAAACTTAAGAATAGAGGTAATACACTAAAGCCCAAGGTACCGCACCAAAAAAGTACAAAAGCATGGTCAACAATTACTCATTAACCATCAACAGGCATCTACTAAGAGTCATAATGTGGCAGACGTTGTGCTAAGTGGTGAGATGCAAATAAAATAAAGATGAAATAGCCCCTGCTTTTGAGAAGCTAATACTCTACTAGAAGAGAAAACCCCTCACACACAAACATACATACAAAAAAAAATACACACACACACACACACATATAAAATAAGTACAAAGTAAATTTAAGTGGGAGGGAACAACCGTCTGAGGAGATAAGAAAAGGCTTCAGGTAGAAGGTTAATGTTTGAATTAAGTTTTGAAGAAGACAAAGGATTCTAAGACAATAGGGTGACAATGGACATCATTCTAGGCATGAGGGAGAGCAACGGTGTTGTGTCAGGAATAGCAAAAAGGTCAGTCTGATTGGACAGCAGAGGGTGAAAAGAGTTATTAAGCTAAGGCTGTGAAGTACTTTAAAAGGTAAACGGCATTTTCCTCCAACTTCATTCAGCAGCACATCAATTTTGGGTGGTTTTGATCCCCCCCAAAAAATATGTTGGCCTTCTCACAGCAAGGGCCACCTCTTTTACAGATACTTTTGATCCCACCGCCTCCTGTTTTCCTCAGCAGAGTGCGTTTTCTCATTCTACCTACCTTTTCAACCTCCTACTACTACTTCTGATGTCTACAAACACAGCCCACGTCTGACTAAAAAAAAAAATCAATAACCTCACTAGGTCCCACCATTCTTGCTAGCTATTGTCCTGTATCTCCTTTTCTCAGCCAAACTAACCAAAAAAGCTATCTACACTAGGAGGCTTCACTTCCTTTCTTCTGAATCTCCTCTCAACTCCCTCTAACCAGCCTTCTGACATAATTCAACTACAAGCACTCTCTTCAAAGTTAACAATAATCTCTTAATTACCAAATCTAGTAACTGTCTTTCAATCCTCATCCTTCTTGACCTCTCTGTAATATCTGATATATCAGTCCATCCTCTCTTACTGGATTCACTTCTCTCCACTCACACATCCCTCACCCTAAGTTAGAACCTCATCACCTCTCACATCAACTATTATAACTGCATCCTACTTGGTATCCTCACTACAATTCCCTCTCCATTCTAATCCTTCATATAGCCATTAAACTGATTTTCCTAAAGTGTAGGTCTGACCATATCACCTTCCCTCCCTAATAAACTTCAGTGGCTCCATACTACTTCTAAGAACAAATATTAACTCCTGTGTTTGACATTTAAAGCTCTTCACAACTTAGCCCCTTCCTACCTTTCCGGTTTTTTTTTTAACATTACTTTCCTCTACAATCTTTATAGGCTAGCCCCAGCGGTGGGGACCCTGTTGCCTTGAGGCCACATGTTGCTATCTAGGTCCTTAGGTGCACCCTTTTGACTGACTCAAAGTTTCACAGAACAAATCCTTTTATGAAGGGGATCTGTTCTGTGAAGTTTGGAATCAGTCAAAGGGCCACACTTGAGGACCTAGAGGGCCACATGTGGCCTTGAGGTTGCAGGTTCCCTACCCTTGGTGTAGCCAAAAAGGCTTGTTTGCTATTTCATACCCAAGGTAAGGCTTTCCCCATGTCTATGCCTTTACATTATCTTTTCCCCAATGCTTGAAATATATTTCTATTTCACCTTCACCTCTCCCTTTATTTCTTTCAAGATTCAGTTCAAACACTGCCTTCTATGTAAAGCCTTTCAAAACCACCAGTTTTCCTCCAGGTGCTAGTGCCTTCTCTGGAAGTCAAGTCAGCTCCTTGCATTGTTCTAAGACCTGAGGACACAAAGAAAGACAAAAAGGAAAAAAAAAAGAACCACCTTCCCTTGTTCTCACTGAGCTCACTGTGTAACGGAGAAGACAACCTGCAAACAACTATGTAAAAAAAGGCTTAAAAAATTACAGTATATGACTGTGATTTGCTACAAGAAATGATAAGCACTCAGTGATCTTAGAAAAACATGGATAGGCTTGTATGAAATAATGAGCTCACCCAAAAGAACGTTTTATACAGCAACAGCAATACTGTTTTAATAACAACTTTGAGTGAATAAGTCATTTTGACCATTATAACTACCCAAATTAATCACAAAGTACATACAGGAAAATGCTATCTGCATCCAGAGAGAGAACTGATAAATAGATGTACAGAATGATTTCACACACACACACACACACACACACACAAACATACTTGTGTCTAATGGTAGCCATCTTTAGGGCAGGGGGGAAGGGTGAGGAGGGAAGGAAAAGAAATTTTTAAAAAATTTACACAATAACATATATTTAAAAGGAATAGTAAACTATACATAACAGATCTGCAATTTCATGTGCAATCATTTTTTTCTATTCTACTATGTTATAGAAATGTTTGTTTTATCACATAAATTAAATATAAAAGAAAAAAGACGGGGAAAAAAGAAAAAAACATGTTACGAATATTAGAACGGTATATGTAATGGGGACAGGCTAGAAGCATTTCCAATAAGAACAGGGGTAAAACAAGGATGTCCATTATCACCACTGTTATTCAATACTGTGCTGGAAATGTTAGCTTTAGCAATAAGAGAAGAAAAAGAAGAAAAGAATAGGCAAGAAAGCATCTTTGCAGATGACATGATGATATACTTAGAGAATCCTAGAGAATCAAGTAAAAAACTACTTGAAATAATAAACAACTTTAGCAAAATTGCAGGTTATAAAATAAACCCACATAAATCATCAGCATTTCTGTATATTACCAACAAAGCCCAACAGCAAGAGATAGAAAGAGAAATCCCATTTAAACTTACTGTAGACATTATAAAATATTTAGGAGTCTACCTCCTGAAACAAACCCAGGAACTCTATGAACACAATTACAAAACACTTTTCACACAAATAAAATCAGATCTAAATAATTGGAAAAACATCAGTTGCTCATGGGTAGGCCGAGCTAATATAATAAAAATGACAATCCTACCTAAGCTAATTTACTTATTCAGTGCCATACCAATCAAACTACCAAAAATTATTTTATAGAGTTAGAAAAAATAATAACAAGATTCATTTGGAAAAACAAAAGGTCCAGAATATCAAAGGAACTAATGAAAAGAAATGCAGGGGAAGGTGGCCTAGCAATTCCAGATCTTAAATTGTATTATAAAGCAGCAATCATCAAAACTGCTTGGTACTGGCTAAGAAATAGGGAGGTGGATCAGTGGAATAGGTTAAATATGCAAGACACAGTAGTCAATGACTATAGTAATCTATTATTTGATAAACCCAAAGACCCCAGCTTCTGGGATAAGAACCCACTCTTTGAAAAAAACTGCTGGGAAAACTGGAAAAGAGTATGGCAGAAACTAGGCATAGACCCAAATCTCACACCATATACCAAAATAAAGTCAAAATGGGTTCATGACTTAGATATAAAGGCTGATACCATAAGTAAACTGGGAGAACAAGGAATAGTTTACCTATCAGATCTATGGAGAACAGAAGAATTCATGACCAAACAGGAGATAGAGAACATTATGAAAAGCAAAATGGATAATTTTGATTACATTAAATTGAAAAGTTTTTGCACAAACAAAGCCAATGCAACTAAGATTAGAAGGAAGGTAGAAAATTGGGAAAGAATTTTTACAACCAGTCTCTCTGATAAAGGCCTCATTTCTAAAAATATAGAGAATTAAGACAAATTTATAAGAACACAAGCCATTCCCCAATTGATAAATGGTCAAAGGATATGAACAGACAGTTCTCAGATGAAGAAATTAAAGCCATCTATAGTCATATGAAAAAATGCTTTAAATCGTTATTGATTCGAGAAATGCAAATCAAAACAACTCTGAGGTACCACATCACACCTATCAGATTGGCCAACATGACAAAACAGGAAAATGATAAATGTTGGAGAAGATGTGGGAAAATTGGAACACTAATACATTGTTGGTGGAGTTGTGAAATGATCCAACCATTTTGGAGAACAATTTGGAACTATGCCCAAAGGGCTACAAAAATGTGCATACCCTTTGATCCAGCAATAGCACTTCTAGGGCTATATCCCAAAGAGATCAAACAAATGGGAAAAGGACCCACATGTACAAAAATATTCATAGCAGCTCTTTTTGTGGTGGCAAAGAATTGGAAATTGAGAGGATGCCCATCAATTGGGGAATGGCTGAGCAAGTTGTGGTATATGAATGTAATGGAATACTATTGTGCTATAAGAAATGATGAACAGGCTGACTTCAGAAAAACCTGGAAAGACTTTATGGTCTGATGCTGAGGGAAGTGAGCAGAACCAAGAAGACTTTGTACACAATAACAGCCACGTTATGCGATGACTAATATAGTTAAACTGAACCCTTCTCAGCATTACAAGGATCTAAGACATCTCCAGAGGCCTCGGGACGGAAAATGCTGTCCACATCCAAAGAAAGAACTATGGAAGTTGAATCGCTAGCACTTATTTTTACCTTCTGTTGAGTTTTGTTTCATCTTTCTGATGGTTTCTCCTATTGGTTTTAATTTTTACTTACAACTTCACTAATGTGAACATATG